TAGCCATGGCTGTTACAAAGAAAAGAAAAACGGCTGATGATAAGCATGTGGCTCAGAGTAAGGGAGCTGGTGGATGTCTGTTTGTTTTTGGTTTTGTTTTTGCTATAGGGCACATGTGCTTGCCAGAAAGACAGAGAGAGACAGAGAGAAAGGGAAAGTGAGAAATCACCCCCCAGGGGGGATGGCCACGCCACAATCCCTTCTCCGCCATTCTCCTCTTGGGATCTTGAGCACGCACACACATGCACCCAGCATGATTTTCAAGTTTCTGGGTCTAGGACTTGAACCATAGTCAGCCATGTAGGAGTCCAGAGCCTTAACCACTACACAACCTACTGATCTCCCAGCTTCAATTTCTTTTCTTTTTTTTTTTTAATAATTATTTTATTTAACTTTATTTATTTATTTACTTATTTTATTTTGACCAGAGAGGGCCAAAGTGAGAGGGAGAGGGAAAGTGAGAAACTAAGCCGCCAGGTCCAGGACTCTAACTGTAGTCGACCATGTGGGAGTTAGTCCAGCACCCTTAGCCACCAGGCTACTTGCTGGTCCCTCCCCCAGCTTCAATTCCTAGAGGAAAAAAAAGAAGTTTTGTTTTGTTTTGTTTTTAATTTTGAGAGAGATTTTCGCTATAGGGCACGTGCGCTCGCCAGACAGAGAGAGACATAAAGACAGAAAGCGAGAAATCACCCCCCAGGGGGGATGGTCATGCCACAATCCCTTCTCCTCCATTCTCCTCTCGGGATCATGGGCACGCACGCACATGCACCCGGCGTGAGTTTTAAGCCACCGGGTCCGGGACGCGAACCGCGGTCGACTACGTGGGAGTCCAGCGACATAGCCATTATGCTAACTGCTGGTTCCCTTGTTTTTAATTTTGAAAGTAACTGTGGCAGTGGTCAGTTAACACCTCTTTCTCTACTTTTTTAAAGTGGAGAAGCATGCAGGAATCCCAGGAAGCACACGTGTCTGGCCACCTAGAGGAGACAGTGGCTGCGGTCAGCGTCACTCCCAGGAGGAAGCCCCAGAGCAGGCTGCCCCAGACAGCACTGTTCCAGCCGCCGCGAGAGAAGCTGCACCTCTGCGAGAAGGCCACACTCTGCCAGCAGCCACGAGGTGAGGAGCCTTCATCCTACACCCGTACCCTGGAGCCTGAGCCCTCACGTGGGATCAAGAGAAGGTAGAGTCAGCCAGCGGCATGGTGGGGAAGGCTGCTGGATCCCTCATGGCCAACCGCACAGTTCAATGCCCAGGCCCAGTGGCTTGATGAACATGCTGTGCGTAAGTACAGGTGTGCTCAGGATCCTGCAAGGAGAATGGAGAAGAACAGTGGCGTGCCCATCCCTGCCCCTCCACGGAGCAGTGCTTTCTCGCTTTCCCTCTCTTTGTCTGTCCACCTCTGGCAACCACACAGGCCTTACAGCCAATGACAAAGAAAAATGTAGAGTAGTTCAAAAGTGCATTCCTACTCTCAGGAGTTTGATGTAAGAGAGTGTATAATAAAGTGCCTTTGTTTTATTTTAAAGAATTATTTACTGGGGGCTGACAGGTGGCATGGTGAGTAAGGCAACTGGACTCCCACATGGCTGACTGCGGTTTGAATCCCAGACCTGTCAGCTTGCTTTCCCACTTTTCCTTCTCTCTCTCTGGTCAGCTTCAGAAAAATCAAATCAAATCAGGACAATGAATAAAATAAAATAAATTTTTAAAGAATTTTATTTATTTATTTATTTACTTATTTATTTATTTATTTATTTATTTATTTATGTTTTGAGAGGATTTTGCTGTAGGGTGCTTACACTCACCAGAAAGACAGAGAGAGACAGAGACAGAAAGTTTCAAGCTGCCAGGTCTGGGACTCGAACTGCAGTCAACTACGTGGGCATCCAGCAATGCAACCATTTCACTATCTGCTGGTCTCGACTATCATGTTTTAAGATAAGCACTTGTTTCCCTCCCTAACAGTATAAACAGGCTGTCCATGAGCTCACGCAGTGGGTGGCACTGACGAGAATTTGCTATGGGGACTCGCACTGGAAGCTCACAGAGGTGCACATCAACCAGGCTCAAGGGTACCTCCAGCTGAAAGGTGAGGCCGTCACAGACAGAGCGCCCAGTCAGTGGGTGTCTGCGTTCTCTCCAAATTCAACTCACTCTTAACTAAGAGGAGGAGGTTTGGGCTATTCTCCTTTCCAGATATTGAGAAGCATTCTCCTTTTCGAATCAAGAAGATATGAATATATAGTCAAAGGACAAAAAGGGAAGGAAGGTTATAACCCTTTTGGTTTCATTTTGGATGATCTTTAAAGTAGGGTTCTGGGCTGGCCAGTGGCATGGAGGTTAAGGCACTGGACTCCAACCTGGTTAACTGTGGTTCAGGTCCTGAAACTGGCAGCTTGAAAATCACACTAGGTGCATATGTATACATGCCCAAAATCCAGAGAGGAAAATGGAAGAGAAGGAATTACAGTGTGGTCACCCTTCCCGGGGGGGTGCGGGGGTAAGTTCTCACTTTCTCTTTCATTGTCTCCCTCTGTCTCTCTCCATCTCTCTCCAGTGAGCACACGTGCCTGATAGCAAAATCCTTAAAAAAAGAAAAAAAGATGTAAATAGTTACAGGACCAGCAGTTGGCATAATGGCTATGTCACTGGACTCCCATGTAGTGGACCATGGTTCGAGTCCTGGACCTGGTGGTTTAAACTCACACCAGGCACGTTTGTGTACATGCCCAAGATCCCGAGAGGAGAATGGAGGAGAAGGGATTGTGGCGTGGCCATCCCCCCGAGGGGGTGATTTCTCACTTTCTGTATCTCTCTCCTTCTCTATCTGGCGAGCGCACGCGCCCTATAGCAAAAAACACTCAAAAATAAATAAATAAAAAGACCCAGATGTAAATAGTTAATTCTTACAGTCTACTTTTTCAATGAGAAGTGACGTTGATGATGGACCAGCAAATAAATAAAACGATAAACACGGAAAAGCATAGCATTGTCACCCGACAAAGCCTGCCAAATCCAATGGTAGACTAAAATTCCAGCCGAATCCAATTGTAGACAGGCCTACCTGTTAGGTCAAAGACTTAGGGCCGTGACCTCGGGGGATCATCTAGTTTAACACCCACCCTCTCCTCCCCGGTCTCTAAATGCCTAAGAAGTGAGCCCGAGCTGAAACAGCTTAAGCCCGGATCACACTGCGGCTAAGTAGCTGCTCTGAGACTAAGCACTAGAATTTCAGGGGCCCGTTCCCAGTGTCCCACCATGGTGGATGTTCTCTGGCAGCATTGTCTCTCTGTAGGAGAGTCCGCCTTTCTCTGCTTAACAGAAAAGCAATACCAGCTATTTGCTCAGGTCTTATAGAGTGCCAGGCACTGTACTATTTTCCATGCCTAATCTTCCCCAGTCTTCCTCACTGTCCTGTGAGGTAGGTGTTACTGCTATCCCTATTTAAAATAGAAGAAGCTGTCGCTGGACTCCCACGTGGTCAACCATGGTTCGAGTCCCGGACCTGGTGGCTTAAACTCATGCCGGGCGCGTGTGCGTGCGTGCCCAAGATCCCGAGAAGAGAATGGAGGGGAAGGGATTGTGGCATGGCCATCCCCCCTGAGGGATGATGTCTCGCTTTCTGTCTCTCTGTCTCTCTCTCTTTCTCCAGTAAGTGCACACCCACTATAGCCAAAATCTCTCTCAAAAAAAAAAATAGAGGAAGCTAAAGTTTCATAGTAAGGGTGAACAGAGGGTTCATTCTGGGAAGATTGACTGAAGAGCCAATATTCTTCTTCTGTTTTTATTTTTTCTTTAAGTTGCCAGGGCACATGTAAACTTGGAAGAGGACACCCTTCTGTGGGGCAGTGCGCTGTGAAATTGCCACAATTCCTTCTCCTCCAGTTCTTCCCCCTGCGGGGAGTGTGTACACACCCATACATGGGCCTGACATGTTTTACAAGCTGCCAGAACCGGGATTCAAACTGTAGTTAGCCCTGTGGGATCCAGCTCACGTAACCACTAAGCTACACGGCTGGCCCAGAGCCAGTGTTCTTTTTTTTTGTTTCTTTAAGAATGATTTTATTTAACTTTATTTGTTTATTTATATATTTTAATTTGACCAGAGTAGGACAGAGTGAGAGTAAGAGAGAAGAGAGAGAGAGTGAGAAAGCAAGTCACCAGGTCCAGGACTCAAACCATGGTCGGCTGTGCGGGAGTCCAGCCCTTAACCACCACACCAACTGCTGGCCTCCAGATTTTTCCTGATATTTTCGTCTATGATATTTGCCACCATTTTCTTCACACACTTATTATGTAATCTTTGTCAAAGATATATCTCTTAGAAATTTTTTAAAATTTATTTTAATTTATATTTTATCACGTCTTTACAGTGTACATTTCTTTTTTGAACACAAAAACCGTAGGTAGGCTTAACTGTGGAGGTAGCCATGTGGAATCCAGTGCCTTAACCACTGCTGGCCCAGAAGATATATTCTTTATACTCCAAGACTATAGGGACAGAGCTAACTTTCTATTTTGACACCTTTTTGATTTTTCTTCTTCTTCTTCTTCTTTTTTTTTTTTTTTTGAGAGGTTTTCGCTATAGGTCGCTTGCAGTCCCTTCTCCTGCATTCTTCTCTTAGGATTTTGGGCACGCACGCACACACACCTGGCATGAG